AAAAAAAAAAAAAAAAAAAAAAATTAAGTAGTAACACTGAGTCAGAAGGGAGGGCTCACTGAGTAGGTGGTCCTGGAACGGGGACAGGGGTGTGACAAGGTGCTTGTGGATGGGGTTTCCTCTGAAAACAGAAGGAGCCTAATTCCTAAGATGTACAGCAGATATTGGGCACCTCCTGTGTACCGGGTGCTAAGGACATGGCAGGGACAAAACCGTGTTGTGCTGCCCTCGTGGGCAGCAAAGAAAATAAAGCACAAGGTGGTCAGGGTGTTTTATGGTCCTGTGAGCTGGTTGGTGTGAGGTTGGGATGGCCCAGGGAGGCCTCAGTGGGAAGCACACTTGAGGACACGCCCAGGAGCCAGGTCGGGAGGCCCCACAGCTGGTGCAAAGGCCCTGTGGTCAGGGTTGGGCAGATGGTGCTGGAATCAGCAAGGGCCAGGAGGGACACTGAGGTCTTTGCGGCCGGATCCACCTGCACAGGCCCCCTTCATGCCCCGCTGCCCTTGGCACCTGGCTGCTTCATTCCCCAGGTTAATGGGCAACAGCTCTGCTCTCTGGGCTGTGACGGCCTCTTTGCTTTGAGCCACCCCAGGGACCAGGCTGGTCCTAGGTGCTGCCTGTGCTGAGGCTGAGGGGCTGGGTGTAGGGTTCCTTCCTGAAGGGCAGGGAGACCCCCGAGGGCTTCCTGGGAGAGGTGTTGGTGCAGGAGGTTTGAAACAGGGTCTCACTGTGGAGTCTGGGCTGGCCTCAAACTCTTGGTGATCCTTCTGCCTCAGCCTCCCCAGTGCTGGGATCACAGTCATGCACCACCAGGCCTGGTGGGTTAGGGTAAGAGGGGGCGGGGAGACAGCAACGTGCTGGGGTTGGAGGCTCCCAGATTCCTGTGGGTTAGGGTGAGGGTTATATCAGGGTTAGGGTTAAGGTCTGGAGGGCATAGGCAGACAGGAAGTTGCCTGCGGAAGGAAGGGATGGAGGGTTTAGTGTTAGGGTCACAGTTCCGGTCCGGAGCAGCTCTAGGGGCACGTTCAGGGTTAAGGTTGGGGTTTATGAAGGGGCAGGGAGACCCACATGTGCTCAGCTGTGGCATAGGGACGGCTCTGGGAAGCCAGGGAGACCCCCAGGTCCAGCAGGGGCGAGGACCAGCCCAGGGCGCCCGCTCCCGCCCACTTACCCCTCCCCCAGCAGCCCCCTTGGTGGGGAGGCCCCAGGGCTCCGCTCCCGGTCCCGCCGCGTGACTCCCCTCCCCGGCCAAGGTCACGGTCAGCTGGCTCCCGTCACAGCGGCAGGAATGTCCCGGGCGCTGGGCCGCGCTGCCTGGCTGGGACCCCTCATCCCCGCGCGTGGGACGGACACGTGCGAGCCCGCCCCCACGCAGGGCTCCCGCCAGCCCTGCCGCCCTGGCCGCTGGGCGACCTTGGGACTGTTGCGTAACCTCTCTGGACCTTTTAAAAAAAACAGCCACCCTGCATTGCGAGGCCTCCCCAGGCCCGGGCCCCATGAGCTCATCGCCTGCAGCCGGATTCTCTCACGCGCGCGCTGGAGAGGCACCCTCGGGGGCCCCCGCCGCCCACGGCCACGCGCAGCCCAGATTTGGCTCCAAGCTCCGTAAAAATAATCGCCGGAGGGTGGGACGCCTGTGCGCGGTGGTGGGCTGCTCCCCGGGCCCTTGGGCAGCGTCTCTTTGCTCTAGGTCCTCCGTACCCTTAGCCAAACTCAGCTTTGCCAGCCAGTTGTAAGCTCTTTTGTGTTGTGCGGCCCGTGGTGGTGGTGGTGCCCACCTGCAGTCCCAGTGATGGGGAGGCTGAGGCAGGACCGTTGCTGCAAGTTCAAGACCAGCTTGGACTACTTAGTGAGACCCTATCTCAAGTAAACAAACGAAAAGATCTTCTGTGATGTGGCCTGTGCTGCCCCTGACCCGCCCCCCCCCCCACCGCCCTTCAAGACCTCAGGGAGACGCTATTTCCTTCCTTGCCCTGTTCAAGCCCCTCCCCCACAGGACGGGACAATAATCCCAGGCAACTCCCAGGACCGGTGTCCTAACAGACTGATGCCTTTATGGCCTGTTCCCCTGTCTGTGAAATAACAGCGATGGCGGGGCAGGCTGTGATGAGACCCTGAGAGTTTTTACTTTATTGTTGTCTTTGTTTTTCTTTTTTGGTCTTTTTGAGACACCGCTATGCAGTTCAGGCTGGCCTTGAGCTCACTTTGTAGCCCAGGCTGGTCTCGAACTCGCAACGATCCTCCTGCCTTAGCCTTCTGAGTGCTGGGATTACAGGCATGCGCCATCATGCCTGGCTGCTTTATTGTTGTTTTGTTAGAGTTGAAGACTATTTTGCTTTATTTTCGGGAGTTTATGAACTTGTATACACTCTTGTGTTAACCTTGGCTGCTTCATCCAGACCCTTTCTGGGATGGATGGGTGTGAGCCCTAAAACTGGAAGCACCCCAAAGCTGAGTGTGGTGGTGCACACCTGTAATCATAGGACTCTGGGAGGCTGAGGCAGGAAGGTATCAAATTCCAAACTACCCTGAGCAATTTAGCAACTTAGCCAGACCCTGTATCAAAATACAAACTAAAAAGGGCTGGGGATGTAGCTCAGTGGGAAGGCCCAGGTTCCAGTCCCCAATACTGGGGGGAAAAAATTGGAATCGTCCTCCTTGCCCCACCCTGGGGACCTGTCTCCCCGCCCCCAGGCAGCCCCTGGAGCCCGTGAGAACCCTAGCAGCCCCCAAGTGCCAGGCTGGGGGTAGGAGATGCTTGCTGCAGGCCCCACCCCCGCGTGCCGGGGCCTCCTCGTTGCCATGGGGACGGTGCGGTTGCCAGGGCGACCGCCTCCCGCGGGCCGCCATCCATCACAGGCAGTGGCGGCTCCCGGAGGCGGGGCGTGGGGCTCTAGCGCCCCCAGACCTGGGGGTGGCTGATGGAGGGGTGGAGGGGACAGGGAAGGGATGGCAGCCCAGGCCCCCTGCCTGAGGCCCTTCCCGAGGCAGATGGAGAGGGACCACGGACGTCCTCTTCCTGGGCCACCCTGGAGACACTGCCCCGGGCCTCTCTGCCCTGTGTCCCTCTGACCTTCCCCTGCCCTGGCTCAGGGGACAGGCGCCCAGCGAGGACACTGTTCTCCTTGTCTTCAGCTTGGGAAGCCAGACACACAGCCGTCCCTGTGTCCCTCTGTCCAGCCTGAAAGGCCACCTGACCGCTGGGGTGGGGACAGGGCACCAGGCAACCAGCCCAGCATGGCCCTGTGTGCTGCAGCGTGGACCCCCGGCCTAGACCTGGCTCCTTCCTGGGTGGGTCCCCGGAGGCCATGCTGGACTGGGAAAAGGAGGGACCAGGGTGCGGCTCCCAGCTGGCCGGAGGGTAATTTGCTCAGCGCCTCTGCCTCCCGCTCTCTGGACATGATTTCCAGCTTGGGGAGAATTCACCAGGCGGGCCAGACAGCAGGGTCCAACGCTTTGTGCTCATGAAGAGCACCCCTGGGCTGGAGCAGAGGGAGTGATGGGGAGGCTGGTGGGGGAGAGGTGGACAGCGGCTGGGCCAGGGGCTGGTGGCACAGGCCTTTAACCCCAGCACTTGGGAGGCTGAGGCAGGAGGACTGCTGCAAGTTTGAGGTCCACCTGAGCTACATAGTGAGTTCAGGGCCAGCCTGCACGACATGGCGAGACTCTGTCTCAGAAAACCAAACCTAAACAACAACAACAAACAAACCATCTCTTAGAAAACCAAACTGACAAAAAATAAAGGGGCCAACCCAGAACCACAGCCAAGCTGGCCTGCCAGCCAGAAAGCTGGACCAAGCCTTTCCTGACCCCGTGCAGCCGAACCCAGCCTCCCTACAGAACAAGTAAAGAAGACACAGGGCGCGGCTCGCGCTTCAGAGGCCCTGGGAGGGACAGAGAGGCACAGGTGCCGGCCTGCCGGGAAGGGCGGGGCCGGTGGGGTCACCTGTCAGGGCGTGGGAGCCGGTGACTTCCCAGGCCCCACTGAGGCCGGGAAAATGAGCCCGCGAGGAGTGGGCAGGGCGCCGTGGGCTCCGGGCTGTCTGGATGCAGAGGCCGCCCAGGCTGTGGTCCGGGCCCTCCGTGCCCCTGCTGTGCCTCACTTCTGCAGGTGGGGAAACTGAGGCCTGGGAGGAGAGCTCTTCAGAGGCCCTGGTGGCTTTGGGCTCCAGGATCCCAGGCCAAGGGGTGCTGGGGCGGTGCGGGGCCCCAGGACAGGCTGTAACTTCAGCCCCCGTGAAGATAAGGGGTGGTGTGAGGGAGGGCCCTGGCTCCCTCCGCCCCCAGAGCCACGGGCTGGCCCTGCCAGGTTCCCAGCGGCGGGGAAGGGCAGTTCTCCCGCTGCCCCTCCCCCTCGCCGTGGCAGGGCTCGGCGCCTGTCTCCTTTGGGCGCGTCTGGTGGCACTGCTGTTAGTTAAGTGCCTATGTAAGCTACCCTTGGGCCCCGAGGCTGAGACAGCCCTGGCTTCCTCCCACAAAAGCCACGAATAAAGCAAGGCCAGGGACAGCGCACCCGTCATCCCAGTACTCAGAGGCTGAGGCAGGAGGATCACAAATTCCAGTCCAGTCTGGATAACTTAACAAGACTCCTTAAAACAATTTTTTTTTAATACAAGGTCTAGCTATGTAGTGCAGGCTGGGCTGTAACTCATGGCAGTCCTCCTGCCTCAGCTTCCTAGTCTGTGATTACAGGAATGTGCCACCATACTGACTTAAAATAAATTTGAAAAAAGGGAGACTGGGAGATGTAGCTCAGGGATAAAGCATCCCAGGTCTTCTGGTCTTCTTCTTTTGTCTTTTTGAGACAGGGTCTCACTGTGCAGTTCAGGCTGGCCTTGAGCTCTGGGGTTTTGTTTTTGTTTTTGTTTTTGTTTTTGTACTGGGAATCGAACTCAAGACCTTGTGCTTGCCAGGCAGGCCCTGAGCTCACTTTGTAGCCCAGACTGGTTTCACACTTGCAGTGATCCTCCTGCCTCAGCCTCTCCAGTGCTGGGATTACAGGCGTGCGCCACTAGGCTGGGCTTTTCATCCTAGGTCTCAAATCCCCAGGACAGAAAAAAACAAAAAAAGTCCTGGTTTCGATGGGGTCAACTGAGCCCCGCTGTTTCCTTCTGCGAGTCCTTGGGAAGCCAGTGCCGCTGGGCCAGCCAGTGTGGGCTGCGTGGGAAGCCTTAGATGTCCGGGCTGGCATCAGGGACCCTGCAGCTATGTGTTGCCATGGCCTGGTGGGCCCTTCGTGCTGTACTGCCCGTGCCCCTGGCAGCTGCAGAAAGCTGCGTGGTGGGTAGGAGGGTCCGGCGGCGCTGTCCTGATCTGTCCTCCGCTCTGGGCCACAGGGGAGGGACGTGGGTCTTCCCCAAACCCCTTTCTCTGACCTTGGGTGCCCGGTGAGCTCCTATGCAGCCTTTACCACCCAGCCTTCCTGTCCTTTCCCAAGCTCTTCTTGCCTCTCTCAGCCCCATCCGGAGGGAGCTGCAGGAGGGTTTGCTGAGTGACTTCATGAAGTGTAAGGCAGAGAGAGAGAGGGGGAGAGAGCAGCACAGTGCCCAGCGGGCCGGGAAGTGGCCACTTAACAGAGGAGGAGCCTGGGCGGGCGGGGAGAACCCTGCCCCGTCCCATCACCTGGACGGGGAGGGCGGCGGGAGGCGGGGGTGATCAGCCCGACTTTTGTCCGTCCCCAGGGTCCTGACCGCGGACACCGCATCCCAGCAGGAGAGGCTCCAGGCCATCGCAGTGAGTCTCTGAGGCTGGGGCTGTGGGGTGTGGATGGGGATCCCGGGCCCCCAGGCCCACCCTGCTGATGTGAGGGCGCCTGCCTTCCAGGAGCGGCGGAAGAGGCAGGCAGAGATCGAAAACAAACGGCGGCAGCTGGAAGACGACAGGCGGCAGCTACAGCACCTGAAGGTGGGACCCGGGGGCCGCAGAGGGGGAGGTGATCGGGACCCCAGATCTTTTGAGGGGCGTTGAGGTAGGATCTTGCTATGCAGTTTAGGCTGGCCTTGAGCTCACTGTGTAACTCAGGCTGATGTTGATCTTGTGGCAACCCTCCTGCCTCAGCCTCTTGAGTTGCAGGCGTGTGCCACCATGCTTGGCTCACGGCCCCAGATCTGACCCTCACCTGCATCCCTGTGATCCAGTCCAAGGCACTGCGGGAACGCTGGCTGCTGGAGGGGACGCCGTCCTCAGCCTCTGAGGGGGACGAGGACATGCGGAGGCAGATGCAGGAGGACGAGCAGAGGGCCCGGCTCCTGGAGGAGTCCATCTGCAGGTGGGTGGTCACGTCCAGGGCAGGGGTGCTCGGGTGGGCTCTGGTCCCATCTGGTCCCCATGTGAGCCCAGGCTGCCCCTTTCCTCTTGGGACAGCAGGTGTGTGCAGCAGGCGGGCGTGTGGCGTCAGGGCGGAACCTGCCTCGGCCTCCCCTGGGCTTTCCTGGCGCCAGCCCAGCTGGCCGCGCCCACAACCCAGTGCTGATGGCAGCTGAGGCAGCTGGGCGCAGGAAGTGGGGAGGGGACAGGATGGGAAAGTGGCCTGGGGACAAAACGCCTGGGTTTCCGGGCTGGCGGCGGGTGGGAGGGCCAGGCCCAGCTTGGGGCACAGGGTCACTGCAGAGGGAAATGATGACCAGAATCCTGGAGTCTGTGCCGCCTGGGAGGGACGGGACAGAGCGGCCCAGCCCCGGCTCCCGCCAGGAACCTGCACAGGACACAGCCTGGCCTGGCCCAGAGAGTCCCCAGCCGTGCCTCTTCTGCCCCGGTTGGTGTTCTGTGAGACAGGCTCTCACTGTGGAGCCCAGGCTGGCCTTGTGCTTCTGGAAGCCCCGCTGCCTCAGCCTCCCAGGTGCTGGGCTGTCGGGCGTGCGTCACCACACCTGGCTCCCAGTTGTGGGGCGGCAGGAGGAGAGCAGCTCTGGGGGTTTCGTTTGACACCGTGCATGGGGTAGGAAGTGCCAGGGAGGCGCAGGGCGCACCGCGGGCGCACCTCACCCCTGCCTTCCCTAGGCTGGAGAAGGAGATTGGTGTGCTGGAGAGCGGAGAGGTGAAGGAGAACGCAGCTGCCCCCAGCCCAGCCCGGGCACCGGCCCCCAGCGCCACTCGGGAGGAGCCCAAGGCTGAGGTGGTGCTGAATTCACAGCCGGTAAGGGGTGACTGGGCCGGGCAGGTCCCTGAGTGAAACTGCACCCCTTCCTGACCAGGACAAGTTGCTTTGTCCTTCTGGGCCACATTTTCCCCACCTGTAAGGTGCAAGAGCACCCAGGTGTGGTGACACATGCCTGTCATCCCAGCATTTGGGAGGCTGAGGCAGGAGGATTGCTGGGAATTTGAGGCCAACGTAGGCTACATAGTGAGTTCAAACCCACTACACAGGGAGACCCTGTCTCAAAACAACAGCAACAAAATTTAAAAAGGACTGGGGATGTAGCTCACCCGAACCTCATCAGAATCTCAACAGAGTGCCTGGCTTCTGCCCACCTGAGCTGCAGCTGGGAAGGCAGCACTCCTCAGACCTACCCTGTCTGCTTGCCAAGGCCTGATTTTGGGGAGAGTAAGGACACGTAGACTCTTTCCTCTTGGGAGGCCCCAGGCACTGTGGGATACCCCTACCCTGCACCCAAGGAACCGTCTGATTCAGGTCAGGGCTGCCCAGGCTTCCCATAGGATGTAGGTTTTGAAGGTCAAGTAGGAGTTCTCCAGTGGGCTACTGGGGTTGAGAGAGAAAGAAATTGCCCCTCTGAACAAGGACACAACCCAGGGATGTGGGAGACGGGTAGCGGGTGCATCTGGGGTGACCCGACAAGTTCCTGAGCCCGCAGCTGGTCCTCAGCCAGGAAAGGGGACCCTGGTCAGCCGAGGAGGCCAGGCGCAGGCGCTGACCTCTCTCTCTCTCTCTCTTGCAGACCGCGGCGGGCACGCCCAAAGGTAAGGCTCCGGGAGGGATGCGCGGCTGGCGCCCTCTGGTGGCCAGAGAGGGGATGGCAGAGGGATCACAGATGGTTATTGTTGCTACTGAACCCTGATTTGAGCTTGGATCTGGTATTACCGTCATTTCGCTGAATTTTCTCAACATCACTGGGGTGGAGGCGCCACAGCACCCAGTGAGGGATGAGGAAGCAGGCTGGCAGGGATGTCCTGAGTCTGTTGCGGCCCGAGTTGTAGGGGGGTCTACACCAGGTACAGGGGCGGCTGAGCTTGGTCCCTCACCCACTGGGTCTGAGCTCCTTGCCTGCAGCAGGCTGCCCTCCGCTTTTGCGACTGCAGAATGGGGTGAGAAGTCAGGTGTGGTGGCGCACACCTGTCATCCCAGCACTCTGGGAGGCTGATGCAGGAGGATCACAAGTTTGAGACCAGAGTGGCCAGTGTAGAGAGAGATCCTATCACAAAATGAAAAACAAAAAGGGCTGGGGATGTGGTTCAGTGGTGAGCTCCTGCCTAACATGCCTGAGGCGCTGAGTTCCATTCCCAGCAAGTAAGAAAAAAATGTGCGGGGTATGGCGGTGCGCACCTGTAGTCTCAGTACTTAGGAGGCTGAGGCAGGAGGATCAGTACGAGTTCCAGGCTATCCTGGGCTACATGGCAAGACCCTGTCTCAAAACACCAGAAAAAAAAAATTAAAGGAGAAAGAATGAAAGAAGAAAATACATGTGCATATATTACAAGCTTATTACATTCCTTAGGTCACTGTACAGCAGACTTATTAAACATATATTACATGTTTCAATACGTATTGAACGTGTCTGGAGTCACGTTTCTTGCGGGGCATGGGATTGGCGGCCCCTGAGGAGGCTTTGGCCTGATTCGCAGAGCATTAATTATTCACGAGAGGTGTCTCCTTGTCTTACCGGAGAATTACAAATTAATAATTAAAAAAATCTGGGCTGGCCTCTCCAGGATCCTGTGAAAATCGTTTGGGCGGAAAGAAGAGAGGGCTGTGGCACTGTGTGTTTCCTCTGGGAAGGGATTGGGTGTGTGTTGGGGTCCGGGTGTGTCGGGCTCCGGTGTCCCCGGGGTCCGGAGCATGCACAGGGGGCTCTGGGTGCCGGGCCACGCCTCTCGCTGACCTCCCTCTCCCCTCTGTCCAGCAGAGCAGAGAGTCTCCAACACGCCAGTGCGCATGGCCGACGGCTCCACCATGATGAAGGCAGGTGGGTGGATCCTCGTCCCCGCCCCGCATCTCGCTGCCGTCCGGGGTCCCCCTCGGTCCCTGCAGGCCCTGGCGGGATGGGGGACCCAGGCCGGCCCTTGCAGGGTCTCGTGGGCCGAGGTCACACAGTGACGGCTGGATGCAGGCCACAGCTCTGCTTTGACGCCTTTGTCCCTCGCTGGTCCAGGCTTCCCTCCGAAGACGGGCCTCACGCATGGCAGCACTAACATGACAGCCACGGCTTCCCTCCCTCTTGACCTCCAGGCCCATGCCTGGAACACGCTTACCACACATCCTCCCTGCTACTGGCCACAGACATCAGGACTGGCTCCTGGGGAGAGGGGGCGCCATAACCCTGGAAGTGGCCACACCGGGCTGTGGCATTGTCATGCTTTGGGGGCTTCGTACCAAGAAAAAAAGCTTCCACAGTGTATGAGTCGAGTTCAAGTCCCTTTCCTGGCACTTTGTACAGTGCACAACCTGCCCAACTGTGTGGGAAACCTTGGAAATAGATTTTTTTATGGGCAGAAGTGTTAGCACAAGGACAAGGGATTAAATAACCATCATTCAGTCATTCAACAAGTGCTTATGAAGTACCTGCTGTGTGCCAGGCATGGGGCTCATTCTGGGAGGGCTGATATTCTGGTGGGAGCGGCTGGCTATTTAGTTAACTTCTGGAGAAAAGTAAGTCAGAGAACACTGAACTGGAGGGAGGAGAGTGTTCCTAGGGCTCTGTGGCTGCGGGGAGGACTTGGGCTTTGTCCTGGCAAGAGGTGGGAGCCATGGAGGGCTCTGGATGGAGGAGGGACCTGACCTGGGTGTTCACAGCTCCCTCTGGTGGTGGCTGGAGGACAGACTGGGAAGGTCCGGCTGCAGGGTCCAGGGCTTGACACTGGGAACCGGCTGCGGGTGAATGACAGGTCAGGTGGCCACGGGGGGCAGTGCCAGGGACTGGAGGCAGCCGAGGTGGAGCCGGGGGTGGAGCAGGCTCGGGCAAGGTGGGGTCGGGGCCCGTGTGGGACAGAGTCCTTCGGAACGGGTGCTTGTGGAGAGGGATGACACCCAGCAGAGAGGAGAGCTGGGCGGGAAAGGGGCTCCAGGGCAGAGAGCAGCCTCCGAAGCCACGAGGCCGCCAGCTTTGCGTCCCCGAGGGAGCCAGGCCGGGGCGGGCCAGACCTCGGTGCAGACGGCCCCAGGCTGAGCAGCGCCCAGCGACCCTGATGTGCTCAGGGAGCCCAGGTGTGGAGGCACAGCGCGGGGGCTCGAGGTCAGATCCAGGTGCCCAGGTCAGTGCCCGGGGACTGCATGTCCAGGTGGCAGAGGTCAGGCCAGACCCCGCGAGTTCCAGCCTGGACTGTGTGCCCAGGTGAGGCTGGGCCTCCTCCTCCTCTCATCCCACTCGCAGGCACTAGGAACAATTTCTGGGCGCCGCGACAGGACCAGGGCTGGAGACACAAGAGCTTGGTGGCCGAGCGGGCCGGGGGTGCAGAGCTGGAGAGGCAGGGAGGCAGGCTGGGGCTCCAGGATGGGCCTTGGACGCCAAGGCCAGGCACTGGGGAGCTACAGCAGGCTGTGGAGCTGGGGCGGGCGCGTCCGGCGCTGCGTTCGGGTCTTACCACTGCTTTTGCTCGCTGCTGGCCTCCCTGCCCCGCTTGGCTGCAGTCCGGCGGGGGGCATGGGGTGTGGGACGCGGTTAACCCCGTGCCTCTCATGCCAGCCATGTATTCGGTCGAGATCACGGTGGAGAAGGACAAGGCAACCGGGGAGACCAGGGTGCTGTCCAGCACCACGCTGCTCCCCCGGGAGCCGCACCCGCAGGGCATCAAGGTCTACGAGGACGAGACCAAAGGTACGCGAGTCCTAGGGACAAGGACGCCGCTCACTACCTGGGCGCGGTGGCGCACGCCCATCATTCCAGTGCTGGGAGGCTGAGGCGGGAGGATCCCTTCAAGTTTGAGGCCAGCCTGGGCTACACAGTGAGTTCAAGGCCAGCCTGCACTACACAGTGAGACCCTGTCTCAAACAAAACAATACACAGCCTACACATGGTTCATGGAAATGACCACTGTGTTGATAAAAGACCACAGGAAAACAGCGGGGCTGCGGATCAGTGTCTGGACTGGGGAGGGCTGGGCGAGGCGTCTCAGAGGAGGTGATGGGGCTCTTGGGGTGGGCGCAGGGCGCAGGAACGGGGCGCTCCGTGGGTGCACAGCATGGGCAAGGCGGCGTGCACGTGGGCAAGTGAGGCACGGGGCACTGGGCCGTAAGCCGGGAGCGGGGCTGGGCTGTGTCCTTGGGCACCTTGGGTGGGGTGAGTTGAGCCGTGGGCGGAGGCTGAGCTGGTTAGAAATGCTTCTTCCGGCGGCCTGGGTGTGGTTCAGTGGGGTGAGGTCCTGGGCTCCATCCCCAGCTCTGCAGAAAATAAAGATGAGTCAGTTGGTAAAAAACGCCTTGGAGGGGGGGTTTAGCTCAGCGGCACAGCGCCTGCCTGGCAAGCGTGAAGTCGTGAGTTCAATTCCTGGTACTGGGAAAAAAACAGCACCTGCCTGACAAGTGCAAGGTCATGAGTTTGATTCCCGGTAGGGGGGGGGGAACACAAAACAAAACAAAACAAAAAACAAACAAAAAAACGCCTCGGGCCGGGGATATAGCTCAGAGGCACAGCACCTGCCTGAGTTCGATTCCCGTGCCAAAAAAAACCCAAACAAAACAACAACAAAAAGCCTTCTGGTGGCCATCAGAGGGCGCCCACTAGCAGGGCTGAGCAAGTCTCTCTGGAGGTGGATTTACATACTGCACAGTTCAGCTCCTCCAGTGTGATTCAAGAGGTTTGGGTACAGTCATGATGTTGTATAGCCATCCCTTCTGACTAGTTCCAGAACATTCCATCCCCCCAGAAGGAAGCCCCACCCATCCCCATGACAGTTAACCGCCCCCTCCCAGCCCCAGCACCCACAAATGCACTTCCTGTCCCTGGAGTCGCCCGTCCTGAGTGTTTCCTGACCATGGACCCCATGCCCTGTGTCCTGCGTCTGGCGTCTCTCACTGAGCCTGGCCTGAAGGTCTGTCCATGCTGTGGCGAGTGTCACAGCCTCTCCCTTTTCCTGGCTGAGTAATATTCCTGCATGTGTGTCCAACTATGCACACCAGGTTATTTCCACCGCCAGGATTTGAAATGCTGGACACATACGGACACCCATGTTCATTGCCTTCAGGTAGGAGGCCAGGTTACACAGTGACTCTGTTTACGCTGTGTAGCCTGATGTTCTTAAAGGTGATTCATTTCTGGAGAGTTCATGATGCTACTCAAGGGGTCCTGTCATACTGGCTATGATGATGCACACTTGTCATCTGGGCTACTCAGGAGGCTGAGGCAGGAGGATCACAAGTTCAAGACCAAATGGGCACCGGGCGTGGTGGCGCACGCCTGTAATCCCAGCACTCGGGAGGCTGCGGCAGGTGGATTGTTGCGAGTTCGAGACCAGCCTGGGCTGCAAAGTGAGTTCAAGGCTAGCCTGAACTGCATAATGAGACCCTCTCTCAAAAAGACACAAAAAAAAGACCAAATGGGCAATTTAACAATTAAGGCCAAGCGTAGTGGCGCACCCCTGTAATCCCAGCACTCAGGAGGCTGAGGTAGGAAGATTGCTGTGAATTTGAGGCCAGCCTGGGCTACAAAGTGAGTTCAAGGCCAGCCTGGTCTGCATGGCGAGACGCTGCCTCAAAAAGAAAAAAAAAAAAAAAAATTTAAGGAGACTTTGTCTCAAAACAAAAAATAAAAAGCTGCAAATATAGCTCAGTGCAAAGACCCTGGGTTCAATCACAGCCACAAAAAAATGGGTCCCCTGAGGAGTTTGGGGAACATACCTGGTTGAGTCCCAGCTCTGTGGCCCTGGTCAGGGGTGATACACCAACAGTGTCCTCACCCCCAGCTGCGCCCCGCCTCTGCCTGGCTCGCAGCCCTTGGGGACTCAGGACCTGTGAGACTGGACTCTGGTTACTTAGCAATGGAAGGTGATCCATTTCCATGGCAACCAGGGCTCAGATTCCTGTGTGGGGCCGTGGCCAGTGGGAAGGACACGCCCTGCCCTCTGGGCCACCACAGTCCCCACAGGTGTCCTTTCCCGGGACTCGAAACCAGAGCAGAGTGCACTTTCTGCCTGGCCAGCGTCCAGGACGGCAGCCTGACCCTTGGCCAGGAGGAGACAGTGACTGCAGCCACTTCCCTCCTCCCCGAGCAGCTGGGCTGCGGCCAGAGACCCTGCTTAACAGGACCAGGTCCCTCTGGGTCCCCCTGGCCACTGGCCAAGTAGTAAATGACAGAGAAGCAGTGCTGTGAAGTCTTCATGGGCCGTCACTAGGAAACAGAGACAGCACAGGAGCAAAACTGTGATTGAAGGTCTATTAAATAGCTGGGCACGGTGCGCACCTGTCATCCCAGCACTGGAAGGCTGAGGCAGGAGGATCCTAAGTTCAAGTCCAGCCTGGGCAATTTAGTGACTTAGTGATATACCCTGTCTCAAAATATTAAGAAAAGCTTGAGGATATAGCTCAGTGCAAAGGCTTTGGGTTTGATCCAGCACAAAAAAAAACAAAAACAAAAACAAAAAAACCCTACGGGCTACAATACATAGTATGATGGTGTACTCTGTAACATGTAATCCAGGCTACTCAGGAGGCTGAAGCAGGAGGACCAGGAGTTCAAGACCAGCCTAGGCAATTTAAGAAGACCCTGTCTCAAAAGAAAAAGTAAAAACAGATGGCTGGAGGTGTAGCTTAGTATTTTCTGGATTCTATTCTTAGTACTGCCAAAAAATATTATAACAACTACCAAGTGAACGCAAAGACTGAAGTGATGAGTGCCCCCGAGGCTCCCAGATCGTGAGCCATCACAGCCCACCCCAGTAGGGGGCTTTTCGGTTTTCTTTCTTTTTTCTTTGAGGTGGTTTCACTACGTAGTTGAGGCTGGCCTTCATCATGCAGTATGTCTCTGCCTCAGCCTCCCAAGAGCTGGATGGCAGGAATGTGCCGCCACACCTGGCAAAAAAAAAATTTTTTTTTTGAGACAGGGTTTCACTCTGTAATTCAGTCTGGGCTTAAACTCACTATGTAGCCCAGCCTGGCCTTAACCTCCTGGCAATCCTGCCTCAGCCTCCCGAGTGCCGGGATTACAGGCGTGCTGCACCGTACGCAGCCTGGCAAGCTTTCTGCCAGTGAGAGTTGCCTTGCTCCTCACCTGCCAGCTGCCCTCCTGCCCCTCCTGCTCACTCTCTCTCTCTGTCCCCGCAGTGGTCCATGCCGTGGATGGCACCATGGAGAATGGGATTCACCCGCTCAGCTCCTCCGAGGTGGACGAACTCATCCACAAGGCGGACGAGGTCACCCTGAGCGAGGCAGGGTCCACAGCTGGGGCAGCGGCAGAGAGCCGGGGGGCGGCGGCGGGGGAGGAGACCGTCCGGACCACGCCGCTGCGGCGGGAGATCACTGGGGTCCAGGCCCAGCCTGGTGAGGCCACGTCGGGCCCGGCCGTCCCGCCCGGCCAGGAGCCCCCGGTCACCATGATCTTCATGGGCTACCAGAACGTGGAGGACGAGGCCGAGACCAAGAAGGTGCTGGGGCTCCAAGACACCATCACCGCGGAGCTGGTCGTCATCGAGGACGCGGCGGAGCCCAAGGAGGCCGCGCCGCCCAACGGCAGCGCCTCGGAGGCCCCCGCCGCCCCCAGCCCCAGGGAGGAGGACCAGGCCGGGCCCGAGGCCGCCACCAGCGACCCCCAGGACCTCGATCTGAAAAAGCAGCGCTGTAAATGCTGCTCAATCATGTGAGCCGGCCCGGCCCCCAGACCCCGGCCCCGCCCTGCGTGACACAGACCCACCAGCCCGGCCCCTCCCAGCGCCCAGCGCCCGCCGCCCGCCGCCTCGCGGCCTGAGACACGCGCGTCCGCACCGGCCCCTGAGTTTTCTTTCCGCTGAAGAGGGTCGGGATCCCGCCCGTCACCACGCCCCACACGCACCCCGCCTCTGAGCCGTGCACTTTGCACCCGGTGGGAGGGACACGGGCCGCCCACTTTTCTGGAACGAGGGCCCCTGCACCCCAAAACTTGTGGCAGCTTCACAGACGTGGCCACTGTGTCCGGCTGGAGTAGCCCATGGCCTCTCCGCCACCCCAGGCCAAGCCTGTGCCTTTCTGCCACCTCCGATGGTCTCTCCGATGGGACCTGGAGTCCCAGGGTCCCCCACGAAGGCACTGGCCTCACAGGCTCGGGCAGCTGGGGGTGAGGCTGTGCTTCTTTAGGGGACAGGTTGGGCCGCCCTGGACAGCCCCAGTGGCCGTGTCCCCTGCTGGGCTTGGGCAGGTGTGCGGACCTGGGAAGCCCTGGGGCCACATCCCCACACGGGTGTCGGTAGCCCCAGGCTGTACCTGGCCGGGGGGCCACAGACTGGGGTCTCAAACTGCTTCTTGTCCCAAGCTCCTGTCCCCACTGGGCCCCTCTTCCTCCTGGTGCTAATTTGGGGACTTCAGGGGCCACCCCCGGCCTCTTCTCCAGCCCGGGCCTCTGGTCCTCCCAGAAATCAGGCCCCACTGGCCAGCTCTGCTAGGCCGGGATTGTTGCTGGGCAGGGAGGTCCCCTGGGGTGGTGCGGGAGACCCCTACTTGCCACCTGGAGTGACGTCGCAGGCCCCTCTCGCTAGAGGTGGCCTGGAGGTCCCCGCCCGGGGACAGCCACGGCGCCCCCAGCCACATGTTCTGCACAGGCCCACGCCCCCTCTCCTCAAGGGTTGGCTTTGGGCCCTGGATCCTGTTGACCTGGTCCCTAGGGGCCTGGTGCCCAGGGCTAAGGCCACCTTGTGGCCAGGTCACCACCTACAGCCACCACGGGGCAGGCTCAGTGGCCACCCTCGGGCCAGAGCCAAGGTCACTGTCGAGGTTCTGCTCCTCCGGTGGCCGGGGGGAGGGGCCCTCTCTGGGGGTGACCCGGGCAGCGGCCGGGGGCCCCCTCTGCTTCCTCCCTCGAGTCCGCCCGAGTCCCCGAGCTGTGAGCCTTCGCTGAAGTGCCCTTGCTGCCCCCTCTGCTTTCGGTGTGTGATGAGGCCCCGGTGTTCTTGATTTTCCCAGAGAAGCAAATAAAAGTGTGAAGAGCCCAGTGCCTGGAGTAATTGGATTTCACCAGTGGGGAGGGCCAGCCAGGCCGGAGGTGGGGCGGGGCCTGCAGGTGGTAGAGCCATAAAAGCAGAGGCTGAGCACTGCCTCCCGGGTCAGCCAAGTTCTCCCAGTTGCAGCTGAGCCTGCCTCCTAGGCTCACAGAGGCTGCAAGGCGCCAGAGGTGGTGCTCGATTCCCATCTGCTCCCAAGCGGCACCTGGGCAGGTAAGGCCTGGGTGTGGGGCGGCTGTGGGGTGGCTGGCCTCACTGCATGCTTCCTGGGGAGCCCTGGGTCCCACATCCATCACACCCCATTCTTCGGGCTTATAGTTCTCGGGAGACAGGGTCCCCATAAACACCCTGCACTCAGGAGAAAGTCCTGGGAAGCATATGCTTTAGGGGTTGCTCTATTCTTAGGGGACCCCCAGGTCCATGTGCAGCCTCTCTGGGCCTCAGTTTACCCACTGAGAGGCCAGTGCTGATGTGGGAGCAGGACAGTTAGCACCTGAAGTGCCCAGCACCGAGGGCGTCCCAGTCTCTGACCTCCCCGGGCCCGTGTGCCCCAAGCCTGGTCTAGCACAGTGGAGCGCAAGAAGGGGAGGAGGGCTTGGCTCAGATCCCAGCGCTGCCGTCGGATGGGGTACTTCCTGTGCCTCAGTCTCCACATCTGTGAGCCAGGGTTAAAGGCTCCCGTCTGTCCAGCCGAGTTAGATGCTCTCCACAGGGGCATACACTGGGCGGGGGCCACGTCTGTCCTTCGAACCCCAGGATTCGGAGCTGGGGGATACCTGTCCTGGGAGAGCAGACAGGTTCTGAGGGACCCCACAGTGAGAGCCAGGGCAAGGCAGGGCAGGATGGAGCCCCAGTGAGAGTGGAAGCTCCCTTGTGTCCCCTCCCCTGTATGCAGTCTTGGCAAGTACCCCACCTCCTGCAGTTGCCAGGCTCCCCAGGACCCCAAAAGTGACCTAAAACCCAGGATGGGGGGACAACTGGGCGCCTGGGGGATTCTCCCTGCAGCCCCAAGGGAGATGCCTGGGTGCTCTCCCCACTTCTAGGACAAGAAGTTGGGGCTCAGAGCCAGGTGTGGTGGCACACACTGTCATCCCAGCACTGGGGAGGCTGAGGCAGGAGGATTGCTGGAAGTTTGAGGCCAGTTTGGGCTATATAGTGAGTTCAAGTCCAACCTGAACTACATAGCAAGATCCTGCCTTAAAAAAAAAAATGTAAAAATGGGGCACAGTGAGGTCCAAGGCTTTGACCCCAGGCCTGTTGACCGTCCCTCTGGAGAGGCCAGCAGGGCAGGCCAGGCCAGCTGCACAAGGGGCTGGGACTCGGTTTCCCGCTCACAGCTGAGTGGGCCCGGGTTCCCCTCTCCAACCAGTGCTTGGGGTGGCAGAGAGCCAGCGGCGGCTGCAGGGTTTTGGGGCTGAGTTCCTGCTGCGCGGGCGCAGCGCCCGCCTCACCCAACCCCGGTATCGGTATCGTCTTTCTCCTCCTCCCGCGCTGGACTTTGTTTCCCACGCTGGGTGGGGCTGGGGGCCCTGCGGCCCTCGGGGCCGGTTCCCTGGCAGCAGACGGGCGGAGCTGCACGGGAGGCCGCAGGGAGCCGTGGTGAGGCTGGGCTGCTGGTGGACGCTGGTGGGATGGGGGTCTGCGGGGCGGGGAGGCTCTGCTTTGGGGGCCCTAGGACTCCAATCCTCTCCTGTCCCACGCTAGCCCGGCAGGGCCTCCGACTGGCACCTCAGTCTCACTCCAGGCCTTGGGCTCACCCTCAGCCCCTCACCCGGCTGGCCCTTCAGTCAAGCCCCGCGGCGCCCATCCCAGAACCCTGACCATCGAGGGGCCGTGGAGGCCCCTGTTGCTGGGCATTGTGGGGAGGCAGACCTTGTGGCGGCTTCAGGGATAAACCCCTCTCCCCGAGGGCCGGCCCAGCTTGGGGCCTAGAGTGGGGTGGCAGAGTCCAGCAGGACCAGCCTGGACGTGAGGTCCTGGCCCAGGGTCTGCAGTTCCACAGGGCCGGCGCCCCAGTGACGCCCCCAACACCGTGCCGGGAGCCCGAGCCGCCCCGGGAGCCTTTGCCCACAGGCAGAGGGTGGTGCCAGGCAAAGGGAGCAGGTGTTCAGCACCATGGCCATAAACGACCTCGCTCTGCTGCAGGGCGGGGCGGGGGGCAGCCCTGGAGGCTTCCTGGAAGGGGGGGTGGCGCTGCCCTGCGAACCTATGGACCTGTGACTTGATGGGGTCAGCTCCCCCTCTGGGCCTCAGTTTGCGCCCCTATGAACTGAGGAGAAAATTGTTCCCTCCTGAGGCAGGTGCAGTGGTGCACACCTGTGACCCTAGCTGCTCAGGAGCCTGAGGCAAAAGCATCCCAAATTCAAGCCAAGCCTGAACAACTTAGGAGATCCTGTCTCAAAAAATAAAAATGGCTAGGGATGACGTTCAGTGGTGAGCACTAGCTTCAAGTGCATGAGGCTCTGGGTTCCATCTCCAGCACTGAAAAAAAAAAAAAAAAATTATGGACTCTAAAACAGCAGAAAGGAGAGGCTGGTGTGAAGTGGTTGGTGTGTGGGGATTGATGCAAGATGGCAGGCACCGTGGCAACTATGAATGTCACCCTGAGGCCTCAGAGGCTGATTTTCCTCCCTGGGGCTTCTGTGCACCACACATCACACTCAGGTGCCCAAGGCCCTAAGCATTGTCCTCCAAATCTTTGCAAGAGAAGCACCTGCCCCAGGCTACCCCAAGATCAGGCAAGGACCCAGGATGTAAGTATAAGGTCTACAACCTAGGGCCAGGGATATGGCTCAGCAGCACAGTGCCTGCCTGGCAAGTGCAAGGTCCTGATTAAGATTCCCGGTACAAAAAAAAAAAAAGAAAAGGAAAGGTCTACAACCACCGCAGCAGAGTGGGTCCCCGCAGCTTTGAGCCCAGGAGGAGGGACCCCACCCGATGGCTGCCATGAGTCACCACAGAGGACTGGGTGGACGGGCTGGGAAAGATGCACCCCCACCCTGGACCCACCCAAGGGGAGTCCCAGCCCCACACCCACAAGTGCTGAGCCGTAGTGGACGTCCCGGGTTATAAATCCCGCCCAGTAAATGTCAGCTCACTCACTAGGCAAACACACTGGTAACCACTGCCCGCCCCAGGGCGTGGGGATGGTGGGGTGTGCCCTTCTGCCAGCGCTGGCATGAGGGGATCAGGGCTGCAAGGACGGTGGAGTCTGTGACCCCAGGGCTGAGCACGGGGTGTGTGGAGCGGGCTATGTGTTCATCTGGTCTTTTTTTTTTGGTTTTTCTCCGGTACTGGGAACCGAACTCACGACCTTGCGCTTGCCAGGCAGGCGCTTTTGCGGCTGAGCTAAATCCCCAGCCCCTCATCTGGTCTTTTTGTTTATACTGAGGATGGAACCCAGGGTCTCCCCACTAAGCTGCATCCCCAGCCTTTTCCATTTTCCAAATTTTGAGACATTGTCTCTCTAAACCACTGATTTTCCCAGCTTGGGTTCCAACCTGGAATCCTCCTGCCTCAGCCTCTCCGAGTGCTGGGGTGACATGTACAGCACCACGCCCGGTTCAGCCAGTCTTCTTGAATCAGGCTCTGGCCTGCAGGAGGGTGCTTGCCTGGGGCACAGGTGGGGCAGGTGCTGGGCAATGATCTCAGGTGGGTGAAGACAGACCTTCGATTGGAATATTACCCAAGCACCTCCCAGCTGATTGGGAGGCTGAGGCAGGAGGATCACAAGTTTAGCCCAGCCTGGGTAATTTAGCAACTTAGTGAGACCCTGTTTCATTTTTTGTTTTGTTTTGTTTTTTGTTTGTTTTTCTCCCGGTACCAGGAACCGAACTCACGACCTAGCGCTTGCCAGGCAGGCACTTTGCCACTGAGCTAAATCCCCAGTCCGAGACCCTGTTTCAAAAGAAAACTTTTTTCTTTTTTTAAATGGCTGGGACCCAGGTGTGGTGGTGCATGCCCATAATCCCCGCACTGGGGAGACTGAGGCAGGAGGATCAATGGAAGTTCAAAGCTGGCCTGGGCTACATAGTGAGATCCTGTCTCAAAAAAAAAAAAGCCTGGGATGGAGATAGAGCTCACTGGTGAGCACGTGCCTAAGGTGTGAGCCCCTGGGTTTCATCCTCAACATTACTGAATAGAAGTACACACAGAAGTAAAAATATACAAAAAAAAAAATAAGAATATACACAGAAGCTGGCATGACACAGCGACTGGCTGGAACACCATTCCCGTGACGTGGTTTCATGTGGCTAGATGCCACACTCTGGTTTAGGGAGAAGCTCTTTTTCTTTTTCTTTGTTTTTATGGCTTATTTCATTTTGGGTACTGAGGTTTGAATCCAGGGCTTCACACTGAGCTCCATTCCAGCCCTTTTAATTTTTTATTTTGAGATAGGTTTTGTCAAAGTTGCTAAATTGCCCCTGCTGGGCTGAACTTGTGATCCTCCTGCCTCAGCCTCCCAAAGTGCCACAATCACAGGCTTGCATCCCCCACACCCAGCTTCAGGCAGGGGCTCTGCTCTGCTTCTGAGACCCAGATGGAGCGCCAGCCTCGAGCTGGTGCAGAGGTCTTCGGAGTGAGCCGTGGGTCGAATGGACCCGGGTGTGACAGGGACAACTTGGCTTGGAGCTCTGCGTGCCCTGAGCCCCTCTCCCTGATTTTCAAGGCCCAGCATGGGAGATGCTCAGACAGTGGCTCTGAGGGAATGGAACCTGGGGCCTCCTGGGAGGAAGTGTCCTGGAGGTCAGCGGAGGGAGCCGTGCAGGGTGAAGAGCAGCTGAGAGGTCGGGCTTGGTAGAGACGCTGGTGGTGTGGGAGGGTGACTCCTAGTACCCTGGGAGAGCAGGATGTGTGAGGACAGTGGGTCAGGGTGTCACCGGAGGCTCTGCAGCCCCACCTGGGGCCAGAGGCAGGGTTCAAGGTGTCCCTCACATCCTGGCTTTCCGGCACCAGAGCGGGAGGCTGTTGGGGTGACACAGGGCACCATGCTGTGCGGGAGAGGACAGAAAACCAGGATGTGGGGGCCGAGAACCTGGGAGTCACTGCCTAACTCTGGGCCTGCGTTTCCCACCTAACATCCCTCAGCAGGGAGGGCGTGGACCTGCAGGGGCCATTCCAGACTTCCAGTAAGTGCATCTCAGAGACAGCTCAGAATGAGTCAGAGGACAAAGGCTATGCACAAGAAGCTGGGTGTGGTCAAGCAGGAATATTAGATCCTACAATGGGAGCACCACCATGCCACTAACAGGAACACACAGGCCTTCAGGTATGGTTGGATCCAGGAGCTCAGACGTTTTTATGCAGTGCCAGGCTTGGGGTTGCTCCCAAGCTAGCTGTGCCTATCAGGTGATGCAAACAGCCCCAGTCATTCTCCACTTTGTCCTACCAGCCTAAAAACACTTATTGCATTGTTTTGTTTTGTTTTGGTTTGGTTTGGTTTGTGACACTCACTCTAATTCAGGCTGGCCTTGAACTTTCTATGCAGCCCAGACAAGCCTCAAACTTGTGGCAATCCTCTTGCCCCAGCCTCTCCAGTGCTGAGATTACAGGCATGCACCACCACACCTGGCCTTTCATTAATTAACTGCATTAGTTTCAAAGTCCCAAGATTTCATGTCATTGGCCAGGTTGAGTTATTTACCCATGCCAGAGCCAATCACAGAGTCCAGAGGGTGAAAGAGCATGATTGGCTAGGCTGGGTCAGATATACTGTGATTGGTTGAGCAGCCATTACTTACCCATTCTTCAACCAGTCACAGAAGTCAGCTAGTAGACAGTTGTGATTGCCTGGATTTGAGAATGGAATGCTGTGATTCACCAGGTTGGGTCAAAGAGTTGTTATTGGCTGGCCTGGACCAGAGTGGAATGGTGTGATTGGCTGGGGAGGATCACTTGCCCATCCCTCAACCAATCACACAGATTGCATGACTGGGAGTTTGTCTTTTGAGGGACTGGGAGTTATCCCTGTCTCCACATTTCCTAACCTGGGTCCATGGCTTCCTTCTTCCTCAGTGAACCTGGAGGTCTCCACCCACAGCAGAAAGGTCCGCCAAGAGCCCTGAGGAGATGGACCGCGGGACCAGATACCCCATCTTCAGTGACCCACACTCAGCTCGTGTCACTGGGCTGGCACTGGATGGGGACGCCAGTTACAGGATTGAGCTGGTGGGTGTGGGGCCTGAGGACAATGGCTGGGTTCAGGACGAGATCCAAGCTTTTCCAACGGACTGGGAGACCCATGTGGACAGCACAGAGACACGGGTGCTCCGTGGCAGATACACTGTTCTCGGCCACCCAGCGAAGGACAGGGATGAAGAGACAAAGGTTTACCTCCTGGATGCCAGCCATGGCCCTCCCAGGCAGCTGCAGGACCTGGAGCGCGAGCGCCGGGCGGTCATCCAGGGGCAGGCGGTCAGGAAAGGCAGCACAGTGGCCACGCTTCGTGGTACCCCTGATCACCAGGACGGCTGGCCACCCGGCCCCCTGCAGTCCAGTCCCCTGGAAGAGGAAGACGTGATCGACAGGGAGCAGATTGATTTCCTGGCGGCTAGGCAGCGCTTTTTGCAGCTAGAGCAGGCGGGCGTGAACAGGACCTCGGTCTCCCAGAGTCCCCTGGCCAGAGTGTCCCCAGCACGTGCCCAGCTGGGGTTCATCCAGGCCCCCAAGGCCTCACATGAGCCCCAGCTGGCCAATGGGTATGTTGTCCCCGCCGCCGCCCAGGACAAGGAGGTAGTCATGGTGGAGAAGACGGCTCGTAGTTTTGTTACTGGACCCGGCGTCCAAGCTGTGGACAACTCCAGCCCTTGGTCCCAAGCCACTAACAACTCCAGCTTCCGCTCCCAAGACAAAGGCCACCCCAGCTTCAAATCCCAAACCCCAGATGTCTCCCACCTCTGGTCCCAACCCACGGAAGACCCTGGCTCCTGGGCCCCAGAGCTCCCCAAGGAGACACCCATTGAGCGGGAGATCCGGTTAGCCCAGGAACGCGAGGCAGACCTGCGGGAGCAGAGGGGCCTGGGGCGGGCAGCTGGCCACCAGGAGCTGGTAGAGATCCTCACCCGGCCAGTGCTGACCAAAGCTAGCCTGACCGAGTCCCCACGGAGGGACCGGGGCCGCCCATCCCTGTATGTGCAGCGTGACATGGTGCAGGAGACCCAGCGGGAGGAAGACCACCGACGGATGGGCCTGCAGCCCAGTGGGACATCCACGCCTGACTGGGTCTCCGAAGACCCCCAGCCTGCACTTGAGAGGACACTGAGCTCAGAGTCCATCCTCAACCCCATGCCAGATGCCCGGGCAGCTGACCAGGCTCCAGAGACAAGGAAGGTGAACCGTATACCACCCGACGCCTATCAGCCGTACCTGGGCGGCGGGATCCCCCAGCAAGAGTTCTCACCATTCTGGGGATACCGCAAGCCTAGTGCTGCCCCCACAGCAGAGGCCAAACCTTTGGGCTCTCCAAAGTCCCTGGGTTTTCAGAGGCCTCTCTCAGAATCCTCCGGAAAACCTGTGAGCACAAAGTCCCCTAGGGGACACCTGCAAGCCAGCAGGACCACGGTGCCACGGGAGTACTTCTGCCTGCGACCCCTGCAGTTCAGGGTCCCAGAGGTGCAGCATCAGGCTGAGACCCCCCATGTCTGGGGCTGGGAGGAGGCCGGGGCCCCAGCGTTGAGGCTGAAGAGGACCCAGTCATCTGATCTGCTGGAGAGGGAGGTGGAAGATGTCCTTCGCAGGGAGCGGGAGATGGAGGAGCAGCGGAGGAGCGCTTCCTTCCCTGAAGTCTTCTCCCCAGTGTCGGAGGATGAGGGCTGTGAGCGAGACTCTAGGAGCTCCTCCAGGGCATCTGGTGAGAGGGGAAAGGCGGGGACAGGAGTGGCTATTCTGCCCTGTGATCTGGGTCGGAGCAAGGGACAGGGGAGGTGGAATTCAAGGACCCTGGGGAGGGCAAGTATCTCTTCAATCTGTTCCTTCCCCTCCATCAACTACTTAAGCCGTAGATTTTGAGGGAATGTCAACTTTGCCTTAGGTTTTTTGCTTTATGGATTTATGCAATTTGTTATTAGTTGCATAGAAGTTTGCAGATGTTTAACCTCTTGGTCAATGGCTCGTCTTTGTCAATATGCCATATCTTCCAGGGTTGCTTGGTGTTTTTCACCTTGTATCTATCCAGTTTTTCTCCACTATTTTGGTCAGTCTGTCACAACTATTTGCCTGCTCTGTCTGTCCATTGATGGTTCCAGTGCTGCAGCCAGAATCCTGGTGTCCCCAGAGCTGAGGTTGGCAATCATTTCCCAACACCCCTTCCTTCTCCCACCTCCCACAGGCATCACAGGCAGTTACTCCGTGTCCGAGTCACCCCTGTTCACCCCCATCCACCTGCACTCAGGCCTGGTATGGACGGCGGAGCCCCCGACAGACGGTGCTGCTGAGCACAGGAGAAAGGGACAGTGGGTGAGCAGAGGCTGTCCTCCTCCTCCCAGAGGCCAGCAACCCACCATGGGAGCCTCAGAGGGTCACAAAAGCCCCACGTCTATCTAACCCGGGTCTGCCTAATGTCACCATCACCATCTGCCCCCGTGACTGTGCATCGGTTTCCCCACATGTGAAGTACAATCATAAACCAGGCATCTCTCTCTCTGGGCATCTGCTCAGAGGAGCCACATAAGCAGGGTCCTTGTCCCCGTTTGAGTTCATCCCAGGGGCAAAGGTAAATGTCATGAGGGGACAGTGGGGAGATGGCCTAGAGGTTGGGGGATTGTGGGATGCTAGGAGGACTCCACAGGCAGGAGACATCTTCCCTCCTGCCCTCAATGGACACAGCTATATTTTGGACATCCGGGAGGGCACTGGCGCAGGGCAGGAAGGACAGGGCTGACCCTTGTCCTCTTCTCACAGTATGCTGGCATCAACCCCTCGGATGGCATCAACTCAGAGGTGAGTGCTCCTGAGACATAGGGGGAACACAGGATTTTCCTCACGGCCTTTTCTCCAGGGGCGGGATAATTCTGGGTGTCCTCCCCATTGGTAATGTCTGCCTGAGGTAGATTCTGCTAGAATCTGCTTGTGATGCCTTCCCAAGCACCAATGACACCAAGAGGATCCTTGTGCCACCATTTTGTCAGATGGTGGTTTTAAAGCAGATTAGGACCAAACAAGGGTACTTCTCATTTATTTATTTTCTGCAAGGCTGGGATGGAACTCAGGCCTTGCAGGGGATAGGCTGGCACTCACCACTGAGCTACATCCACAGCACTGTTTTAAAATCGTCTTTTGAGAGAGGGTCTCATTAAGTTGCCCAGGCTGGGCTTGAATTTATGTTCCTCTTGCCTCAGCCTCCTGAATACCTGGAATTACAGGTGGGACTGCACTGGACAAGACACCTAGCTATCTCAGTCAATTCATGGAATGATTTGTGGTTTTTCTTAGGCTGAGTCCAAAAAGTCAGATCCAGCCGGATGTGGTGGTACATACCTTTATAATCCCAGTATTCTGGAAAGCTAAGGCAAGAAGGTCAAAATTCAAACCCAGCCTGGACAATTTAATGAGTCAGCAAGATCCTGTCTCAAAAAAAAAAAAAAAAAAAA